CGTAAATCATTTGGATCAGGACCACAAGTGGCTTTACTTTACAGGTGGATTATGGCGCGGCCTACTTCCACAGCTGCATATATTTGTGCTGTGTCCACTGTTGCTTCCAGATATGGATGGATGGATGGATAAGCTATGCCAGTTTGCGTGGAAATCTTGCTGTTCATATCCCTGAAACATGCGTAGATGGGCTGATAAGCAGGTGACAAATAGCCAACAAAATTCTGATAGGTAGGTAGCTATTTTCATACTTGTTCGGGCATCTATCTACCACTTGGTACAAAATTATACGGGAGAATGTTCGGATGTAAATGTTGATTATCTGCTAGCCAACAGCTGCGAAATTTGCAATTCCTGTATAGCTATAAAACTCTCTTTTTAGATTGGAAAAGCGATACTTTATCTTTTTATAGCTCATTTAGGTAAGAAGTTAATTGCTTTAAAGTTCCTAAAAAATAATAGAGCTTCACTTATCACTAAGGTTTAGTCAAACATTTATTATTGTCCAAATATGAAACGAGGGAAGGGCTTATTTTCTTGGAACAAGAGAATTCCACTCTGAAGAGTTTAATTGGGACTTAATCAATTTCAATATCCGAATTGACACTTTGGTCTATTTTGAAGGGCCAAATTGAAATTCATCTTAAAACCATTGTCTTTTAAGTGAACATTATAGATACTAAAATATCTGAGAACATAAGATGATTTACAGTTAATTGCTTTAAAGTTCCTAAAAAGTAATAGGGTTTCACTTATCACTGAAGTTTAGTCATACATTATTGTTCAAAAATGAGATGAGGGGAGGGATTATTCTTGGAAAAAAAATTTGCATTCTGAAAGGTTTAATTGGGACTCAATCAATTTCAATGGCTGAGTTCACATTTTGGTCTACTTTGAAGGGCCAAATTGAAATTCACCTTAGAAACAATGCCATTTATATTGATTATGGATTTTTATCACTTTACCCCTTTAAATTATATCACTGCTATCAGTTTATCCCTTAACATTATCTTTTAGTCACTTTACTCCCACAAGTAATTCAACTCAATATGTTAAGAAATTTTGGACAAAAATATCCTTTTATTTTGTGGCATTACTACATTGTTATTATCACTTTATTCGTTTAGATTATAGTGATACAATCACTTTAATTCCTAATATTATTTTCTAGGCATTTTACCTCATCGTTAATCTAACTAGTATGGTCAAAAAATTTTAAATATATTTACCCTTTTTATATATAATTAAAAATAAAAAAGTTGGAATGGTTATTCTTCCTTTTTTTTCACTTTAAGAGATCGAAAAAAATAAAAATAAAAGGGTTTTCTCAAATTTTTGTTTGTCACATTTATTAATACTAGGAAAAGAAAAGGAGATAGGAAAGAAGGAGACCAAAAAATAGATTTTGCCAAAAAAAAAAAGAATAGTCTAACATTATCGTATTATTCTAAAATTGTCGAGATTAGAATTGGAATTTGGCGGTAAATAAAAAAGTGAAATAATTTTCAAATAATAAAAGTATTTAATTCTTTTTTATTTGTATTTTTTTTAAAAAAATTGATCTCTCTCCCTCTCTCCCTCTCCCTCCCCCTCCCCCTCTCCACATTTCTATTTTTTTCAATATTAATTAGATTACCAAGAAGAAAGAAATTAATATTTTGACTTTTTTTTCTTGATACTATAAAAGAGAGAGTCACTTTAAATTTTTTATTAATTTTTTATTCAAAGAGGAGGGTATTTTCTTCTAAAATTTTTTAAATTGCTAAATTGATTTAATGATAGGATAAATTACCTAAAAAATACCTCTATAGGGTAAATTGATAATGAGACTATATTTTATGGGGGTAAAGTGATAATAATTTTAAGTGTTAAACATGTCTTTTCACTTTAATTAACAAACTCCGTTAAGTTTGACCATTAGTGTTGGGGTAAAGTGACTAAAAGATATCATTAAGGGGAAAATTAATAGTAGCACCAAACGTTAAGGGGGTAATGTGATAATATGATTGATTTATTATTATTATTATTACTATTATTTTGTATGTGGGAGGTCTTGTTCAAGACTTCCTATTTACAATTTCTTTTTTTTTTTTTACTGTCCAACTCAATCCTTTTTCTTAAAACGAGTGTCATTTAAGTAAACATAAATATTAAAATACCTAAAAAAAAATAAGATGATTTAAAAATTTAATTTCCTGCAGAACCAACAACCCTTATAAAATATCCTTTCATATTGATTTATTCTCTTAAGCATTCTGAAGACGCCATTAGCTTCATTACTTCTCTGTAATATAAGTTTTCAACGATTAGCTTAGTTTAGTATCATTAATTATGAGCCATCTCGACGTGCACAAGCTCAGCCGTGGAAGCACAAGATTTAGCAATGTCTAGCATGACTAATTACTTAAAAATCTTGGTTTCGAACGTGCTATGTTTGACCCATGGATGTGTTGCCCACAATCACCTTGTGCTGGCCATTGGATAAGATGATGACGGTAATATGTTATTTTTTATACGTGAATCTTATTTCCTAGAAAGCTTATTGAAGTGAAATTACGTATTAAGCTTGCAGTAGAATATTGTAGTTAGGTGAAATTCGAAATATACAATTCATTCATGAGAGCAGAAAGAGAAGGATTACTTGTCTGTGATATATATATATATGGTTCTTGGAGAGTCTAAACTAGCCTAAAATCCATTGGTACCCCCACAATATATATATATATATATATATCATTTCTAATCTGATCTCTGTGGTCATCTGGTGGCTCTGAATAAGGGATTACTTCTATTTTAACCAAAAAACAAATTAATTAGTTGTTAATGGTACCCAAACTTGATTTGTGTCACTTAATTATCTAGACTACTAATTTGTATCTCATTGATCCTGTAACTAGAGTGTTGATGAACGATTGAGGAACATTTTATCTGGCCACAAGGAGCTAAACGAGGAAAACATTCACAGTACTCCTAAATTGCTTATGAATCGCGATCACTGTATCTAGTTGTCGCACTCGCATGCATGAGACAGAAGGGATTGCTTGATTTCCAGAATTCCCATACCATATATTTAGTTTAAAGATAGACTGGAAGCCCCTAAATAATCTTTTGAAAAGATGAACTACTTGTGGAATTTTATTGAGCTTTCTAAGGTTGACTTAATTTATCATTTGAATCATTCCTGATATCAACTAGCATGATAATAATTGGGCTTAATATGAGACAGCTTCAAAACTTGCTGTTTCTAGTTGATGCTACAACTTAAAACATCTCGAATGACATATTCCAACAGCGTAAACGTTCAAACGAGTTAATCGTCAGTAATTCAAAATGAAAACTTGCTGCAGATATCTTAAATAGCATAAGATGCTGTCCTTAGAGGGCTCTAGTTGCATACTCTAATATGAAAAAGGACTTCATCTCATGCTTTAGGGAGGTGACTGTATATATATCTTGTGTATCGCTAATGTAATCAAGCTGCTAGCTTGATGGCTAGTTTAATAGATAAAGTTATTTTTGAGTTAAACCTCCCCTTGATCTTCTTACCATTGTAGAGGAAGATGAGAGGGCGAAGTCGGTAAAGAGTGTAAAAACTCATCCATACATTATTGTTTCCAGAAAAAGGAAAAACTGCGTTATGAAATTTCTGCAAGAAATATGTGGGATGGCACAGCATTTTCTGCTTTTAACATTATGAACCCCAGTTATAAGCTTTATTATATGAATGCTTGTTTGGTTTAAGAAAGTAGATAGTTATTTGAGAATCAATTGCTCCTTATTAAAGGGAGTAAGGTAATGTAGTTACGTGCAAAAGAAACTGCAATGCAAGTAAGGTATGTTCTTTCCATCGCTGCTGCGTGCTAAATGCCTGCACTTGGTTTCTTGAATTGATTAATGTTTTTAGATCCTAAACCTCAACTTGACGAAGACGACCAAGTACGAAGAATTCGACAACATTCATATCATTCTCGTTTCACAGAATTGAGCATATTTTACTTAAGATCGAAAGAAACAAAACTGAGAGGCTAATTTTTATCTTATTTGGTATACTGATTATGTTTCTTCTATTTTCCCTGAAACAAATAACGAAAAAACAATCAAATTAGGTGCTGTATGACAAGTGCCAGCAGTAAAGGCACAGCAATTGAGTTGATGACAATATTGTCAAATTGCTAAATCCTGAGACAACAGAACGGTTAGAGTTAGAGCATCCCAGTCAAGGATTAGAAATATGGAACCAAATTTTTACCTTTTGGTGGATATTAAATGGGATTGTTAGTATTTGTATGAGTTGTAGTATTTGTATGAGTTGTTACACTTGTAAAGGATATCACTAGCTTGACTTATTTGAGATGATACAAAAGTAAACGTCTTGAAAGTGACAAGATATCAGTTCTTAAATTCGGTGGCTTTCCTCAGGTTGTTACTTGTAACCTATTGTTGGAGCCTGGAGGTAGGAAAAGAAAGAAAAAAGGAAGAAGAAGAAGAATAAGAATAGGCGATTGGAATCTGCAAGACTATTTGGTTCTCTTGCTCAAGTGGTTATTCTGCAATATAAGTTGTTGGTTTCAGCATGACGACTTGTACATATATGAATGATGATGCTGAAAAACCATTATTCTCAAACTGCTTTCTTCTTTCTTTAAGAACAAAGCAATGGGGCCAATCATTTCCAAACAACAAAAATATATAGTTGAACTACAAATTGCAGTTGATAATCTAATATTTCTTCCCTTAGATCATCAGCTCAGGAACAGAAAAAACTAGTAACTAGTCAAATACATGAAACCGTCAACTGGACTTTAGCTACATTGTCTTTTTCATAAACTTGTCAGCTGTTTGATACTAATGTTTAAAAACTGTGGATTATCTTAACAACAGAAACCACAGGAATGATTCCGTTCACACGAAGAGTTTTAATAAAATTCTAGAAAACAAATAAAATTTCGTAGAAGAACTAAATATAAACTCCCAGCGTTAAGGGCCATGTAACATAGACAATGGAGGGGACTGCTGATATCTTGGGGCTTGAAATGGGGAATATCAACGATTTTGGGTTCATAGATTTCATGGATGTAACCAATTTTGAGCAGTTTATTGAACTCATTAGAGGTGAAACTGCAGAACCAGCTGTTGAATTCTGCGCCAACTTTGATTGTGACCACATTACTGGTTGCATTGCTGGAGAAAGCGAATTGGTGCAACCCCCGGAAGATCAACTTTTTGATTTCAATATAGCAAGCTTTTCTGAGTTTAATTTAGTACCTGAACAGACTAAAGTAGCAGAGGAGGAAAATGATGGGGAGGAGGAATCTTCAGCTACAACAACTACTCCAACTAACAGGAGTAAGAAGACTGATCGATCAAGAACTTTGGTTTCAGAGAGGAAAAGGAGAGGCCGGATGAAGGAAAAACTCTATGCATTGCGTTCCCTGGTTCCTAATATCACCAAGGTTTGCTATCTCTTTTGTCTGCCAATTACAACTAATTACTTTTCCAACAATAGCTATGATCATGTATTAAGCTATGATCATGTTTTAGTCGGTTTTTCGTAGTTTGGCATCGATCCCAATTTTTTTTATTGACAACCAGATCTAAAGGGCTTGTGAGACCTTGCATAAAAGTAAGTTATAATAACAGAGAATAGCATGACGCATACATTCTAGCCTAGTAAGACCTGTACTAGCCTAGTAGGTAAGACTGTACATCACAGGCTCAATTTGCTAAGGTTGACAGCCATCCGTTTGACTCCTAAACATGAGAAAATTAAAGTAAATTTTGATCGAATGCTGAAATTTCGAAATTGCTATATTTATAGATCGATCTTCCAAGGAGTGCTGCATGCAAAGTATCAACTAGTACCATAAGTTTACTAGCACAGATGATCAGTTCTGAACAGTGAATGGCAATTTGAATTTGTTAGTGTAAGTTGTTCTGTTCACTCACAATTGGAGCATGCAGATGGATAAGGCCTCTATCATTGGGGATGCTGTGCTGTATGTGCAAGATCTGCAAATGCAGGCAAAGAAGCTAAAGGCTGAGATAGCTGGTCTTGAGAGTCATCTCTCAGCCAGCCTAATAATTATCCAGGGGAATCCTTCCTAAATGCCAAGAAACCAAACTTCACCATCAACCTTCCACTAATCAAGAAGATTTTTCAGGTTCAAATGCTGGATAAATCCTGCTAACTAAAAGCAATCAACTGATGTGATAAAAAAAAAATTACAGGATGAAAAAATCTGATATATCCTCATTTTTGTTTTCTATTGGACTACAGATGGAAGTTTTTCCAGTGGAGGAAAGAGAATTTTACGTAAGAATGGTATGCAACAAAGGGCAGGGCATAGCAACATTACTTTACAAAGCACTTGAGTCCCTAGCTGGCTTTATAGTTCACAGCTCCAACTTGGCAGCAGCTGCCGAAACTTATATCTTCACATTCACTTTGAACGTAAGTTTTCATTTTGATGAGCTAGCTTGGACCCCTCCTCAACTCTTCTGCAATGAACTCATTTACTTTCGTGTTAAAACAGGTTAACGAATTTGAGGTGGAGATAAACTTGCCAAACTTGAAGCTATGGATTGCTAGCGCTTTTCTTAACCAAGGATTCGATTTTGTTGCATTGCCATCATCTTAGATCATATTATCAAAACATGTATCTGATGAAACCAGCCAGCAGTCCCGTTACTTTTTATTGTTACATCTCGGGCCTCTGGCTATTATTAGTGTTTTATTTTCTGGTTGAGTGGAGGCGGAAAGGCCCAAATGATGTGTTGGAGTCCTGGATTGCAATCGAATTGGGTTCCAGGCAATCAAGCCCAACAACCGGTTTTGCGTGTTCTTGATGGAAGGAAGCACTCTGCTTCCCCTTAGTTCACCAAGGAAGATCTGAAACCCTTAGTTTCGCTCAGTGGTTTGGTTGTTGAATGAGAGGACTTGGCCAACGAATTTCAATTTCATGACACAACTCAAAAGATTTACTATTTCTTTTTCCTTTCCCTCTGCGTTTCCTGTACAAATTGATTTGAAAGAAACTCTAAATTTAAAATTTAGCTGGGCCGAATTGACTTGGCCCAATATGGACCAAGAACCGTTTTCAGCAATTGTTTGTTAACTGTTGAGACGCTATGGTCTATGTGTAAAGCATCACGCATGTGGTGTTTGGTGACAAAAGTGATGGTTTTTAGTTCCTACAACTAATGTTAATTTTCCTCGCCTCAATATAGCAAAAATTGACATTGAAAAGAAAAAGAAACAACTCCAAAGTGGCTGGCTCTGCTCGTCTAGAAACCTTTGTCAGCTAGGCTATTTGTCTCTTGAATAAATGTTCATGGCTATAGAATCCAACCTCAGTCCTATTTCTTTAACCGAAATAGCTATTGATAGATTACCATGATTAGGCCTTTAGAATTTTAGGTCTTGCTTGATAATTCAGTTTAGCACTTAAATTTAACGGATTCAAATCTTAATATATTCAAATCGTTTGATAACAAAAAACAAAAATTGAACATCTGAATTAATTAAAGGGCACTGAATTTTTTAGATAAAATTTGCTCGTATCGCAAAATTAAGTAATAAATTATTCACTTATCATTGAACAATTCAATAATTTAATGGATTCAGACTTCAAATTTTAGACTAAAAATGCACCCTTAAATTCACGTCTCATCAAATTTACAATGCTGCAACACTAAAGATGTTAGCAAAGACAGAGTATCATCAATTCATGGTACCTATACATGCAATTCTCTACCTACCCCCCGGCCCAACAAAAAGGAAAATAAATCATGGTACCTATGACCTGTCCACATTGTTGCCAGTTGCCGCGAACTATGATCATTTTCTTTTGTATGTGTTAATGACAATTATGAGAGGAGGGGTTGGGAGGGCGGGAGGCCATTCAAAAGAGAAATGGCAATGAATATAAGGAGGTTTTGGTGAACGGAATTGAAATTCGTCAACAAAGTATCACCGACCATCTCTTGATGATTCTCACAAAATAAATACGACCAGCCATTTCTGTAGAGTCACTTTCACGGAGGACCAGAGCATTTTGGTTTTACACAGGACACGAGATCAAATCATTTTCCTGGATCCCGTGGTCCACTCCTCATCACTGGTCCCCAACACCTCCACCGCCAGCCCATCCCCGTCCCTAACTAAAGACGCTATTGGCTGATTCTTAGTCACCTCAATAATCACGTGAAACTAGAAGTACAAAGGGTATTCATTTTTCACCCCTTCAATTATGATCAATAGACTCGACACCTTTTTTTTTTAATTTTTTTCCCTATCCTACAATTTTTTTTTTAACTAGATCATTTTTCTCTTTAAGCTTTTCTTTGAATTTTTTTTTTTGGCCTTGTTTGCACATATTTTCAATAATTGAAGACCATACTCACTTCAATGCTATTTGTTGAAATTTTTGTAAAAAAAATTGTACTGTACCGATTTGATATATACGAGATTAAAAGGCGATTGAAAAATGTGTTCATAAAAAGCCTAAAAGTTTTGTAGAAAAAAAAATAGCAAACCAAACAAAACCAATACTCTAAAAGAATGTATGTCGGGTAAGATTTCAAGAAGAACGTTTAGTATGAACTTATTATAGTAGTATACTTTTGAAGCAAAATACACTAGGGTTTCTCTTTTTAGGGAAAAAAAATTAAGTGGAAATTAATCATTGAAAAAATTCCAGAAGGATTACATTACGCTAATCTTTGACCCAAAAACAGTAGGATTTGATGGAGTAAGCTGACGGACTCGGGGCACCTGCAACCGTCCCTGACAAATTTCCTCTTCATTAACAGCGCGTAACTTCTTTTGTTCACCGTGTAACTTTTTTTTCACAGGTTGTATTTTCACAACAGATAGTGATGGGCCCCACACTTGGCGCGCAGAAATCGAGTTACCACTTGTTATCTGAGCCGCACATTTTTTTGAGGTCCAATCTGGACCATGAACCGTGCAGGGACGGTCATATCCCTGCCCCAAATCCGTAAGCTGACATGTGTTTTGGAATCATTGGGTCCTAGAATCACATATAGGATTAACAATCTTAGATGCTAGGATCGTTGACTACAAGATCTGTCCCGTTCACCTCATTTCAGATCACATATACATGCCTTAAAAGATACAATTCTCGAGCTTCATTACCATTTTACCACTAGGGTACAATTTGAGCAAGGTATCTGCGAAAACCATGCCCAGCTAGCTGGAGATTTGGAACTTTGAAGTATGGACAGATCTCCAATTCTCCGTATCATAGTCAAGACTGAGTTGGATGAGATCCACATATTATGACTTGCTGCAACTTGAACGATGGCTGCAGTTGAAGAATTAATTGTTCTAGACATCTACTAGTATATCACAAACAAACAGAACTACAATCTTTGTTCTCAGCTGATTTTCAAGACTTGATTTTAGATTTCGGAAGAGAGCGGTGAAATGACCTTCGAAACTACCTAACTTGCATTCACGAAAATATATATATTAATACAAGCGTGAAAATTACTCTAGTAAAAAGGGTTTTCAAATTATTCATTACATCTTACTGAAAGTGCTGTACTCTTCATTTTGATATGTTTCAAAATGTTTGTCATATTAAGAAAATCGAAGCATTTTTTAGTCTCTCTTTCTAATATAACTAGAATTTTACTCATGCCTTAGCACCGTCTTTTTTTATTTATTTATTATGAATTTATAAAGATATGAATTTTCAATTTGTTTGTGTAATTAACTATTCTCTGTTTTGCACTAAGTTAATTCAAAATTAAGGGAAGGGATGATGAATAATTTGAATACTAACCAATGATACGGTGGTGAAAGGAAATAATTTATGGAATATGTAATATTTCAATAATTGTGATTTGAAAAATGTTTTACTATAGTTCTATAGTATGTTATAATTTGATAGAAAGTAGAATCATTAAGAAAAAATTAGTTGATTTTTAGAGCAATATCACTAAGATAAAATTAGTTATTTTTAAAGTTATTTTAAAATTAGAGATAAATTTGCAAGCATATAATATAAACCAAAAAGGATTCAATATGGGTAAAATCCAAGTGACTCATAAATCATAATCCGTTAATTCTTTTCAATTAGGTATGTCATGTAGGAGTGAGAAACAATTCTAATTAAAATAGTTACTTTCATATATATATATATATTTTGTTAAAAAGTTGAATTTTCGAAACATAACAAAATAATTAAAACAGAAATTAAGAACAAGCCTAAGCTATTCCATTGAAGCCTTGCAAACCCCGGAGGTTTGCAACTCTGCAGTCTGCATTCATAAATACGTCTCCTTAAGACAGGATGCAAACGACATTTACCAGCGGATGGGTCGAAAAGGCGTTTGAATATGCACGGTTTTCTCTTTGATTTAACACCATCGTTCGCCTTTTTATCTTTTGGTGAATTATGCAATTGGCAGCTGCGAAATAAATCATTTGGGTAAGGTACCAGTTGCACATGCTGCTGAAACTGAAAGAACATGTTTTGAATCTTTTGATATGGGCTTTTTGGGGTGGGGGGTCCTTCACAATCATGTCGGAGATAAGAGTTAATTTGGTGGGGCTAGCCGTGTATCCTCGAGATGCCTCTTCGGGTCCTGTTGTCTCGCAGCAGCGAGTGAAGTGCCTTTATTGCAAGCTACGTACAGAAACAGACTAGTCATTTAGCAGTAGTGTTTTGTTACTCTACTTGCTACTCCTGCGGCCTGCTATGGATATTCCCAGGCAAATTGTTGATCACTACTATTTCAAAAAAGTTTTAAGTAACAACAAGAGCATAAACTAGAAAAGAGAAAAAATGCTATTACAAGCAGAAGGATTTAAGGAACCCCCAGCTCAAAGGCTAGGTGGGGTGGGAGGCAAGAACTGCATTAAAGCTTGACGGATTTCAGTCCTTGCCTCCCACCAATTTGTCACGTTAAAAAAAACGATTCTGCTTAAAAAATTTAGAAATGTGCGTAATGAACCCATCTAATTCGATGGTAGTTCAGTTCCCTTCGAATTATTTTTAAATCTCTTCATGTCCTTTTCCTCCCCCTAATGTAATTAATGGAGAAATCTAACGTACCGACAAAAAAAAAAAAAAAGCAGAAGGATTTAAGGGTAAATGGACTAATGACTAGAAACCAAGTTGATGGTGTTATGTATCAAGAACCTCTTGCAACTACCAAAATCAAGTAAATCATATTTACTTTCAAAAGTGATCTAAAACTTGAATCGAAACAAAAATTTTGCTAATTTAAATTTACAAGAGACGTAAAATTAATATTTTAAAAGTAAAAAGTAAAAAAAAAAATTATTTGATAAAATGTGACAGGCGTTTTATTTTGTAGAATTTTGCCTAAATAAACACTACTCATGGCGTACTAAAACCACTGCAGCGTACCCTCATCTTAAACTCTTATGTAGTCATGTGGCGCTGTTATCCTTGAGCCATTTTGGTCTCCCATCCTATACTCGATAGTTTCAAGTGACCACCATCATCGGCTCACAACCGTGTGGTGGTGATTTAAAGCACAAGGGAGCAGCCGAAGCGGGCATGATTCACGAAATTGAAAGTTGGCCCCTCTAACGCGTGGCACCCGATAATTACGACAATTGCAGATTAGCTTGAAACTTTTGGCCTAGTCACCTTTCAAGAATAATAAAATACAACTTGCTATTAGCAATACATTGAAAGTGACAATAATTATTATGAGTGGTGCTTTGAATCATCCTTCAACAATTAAGACTTAAATTAATGGAAGCGAGGACAAACCAATCAAAACTATCCCATAACATTACTATTATTATTACTTTCCAAATTGTAAAGAACAAAGTATAAAAACATATTGGCAATGGGGATGAGAAATCAAATCAAGGATGAAGAATTGGATGATGATGATGACTAAAAATACAACCACAAAACTAAGAAGAAAATGATGATGACTAGAAACAACCAAACAATCCATT